TACTGATCCACTTGTTTGCAGCCTCCCAAGAGCTGGGATTATAGGTGCGCACCACCACACCCAGTCTCAATTGCTATCTTAGCACAGCCCAGGGGCGGGGTAGGCATGGCAGGCCCTGGGATGGAACCCCTGGCCCCTGCGCCTGCTTGCAGACACTTTTATCCGCTGAACTGTATTTCTTTTTTGTGGTACTGGGGATTGAACTCAGGACCTTGAGCTTGCCAGGCAAACACTTATTCTACTGAGCTGTCTCCCCAGGCCCTTGAACTGTATTTCTTATAGATGGTCTCTCATTAGATTTCATGTGTGCCTGGCTCTAAAGCAGTTAAGGCTATTGAATAGCACCCAGAATATTCCTCTCCTTTCTTTACTATGTGGATTTATGGGACTTTATAATTGTCAAATCAATCTTATTTTTAATACAGAGAAATACAGTGAATGTTGTATTGTTAAACTGTAAACAAATAAAGCACAGATAATTTAAAATGGAAAGTGATCCCAAATTCACTTATATTTAGTCTTGAAATTATATATTGAGAGGTGTAAGAGTAGATTTGTTCATTGAAAATTTAAGCTGTAAACAATTTTGAAAGACAAAATTAATTAAAAATGAGATAAATTGTTATAAGCAGTAATAGGAAGATAAAAGGCGGAAGAACTTTGAAAATGATGTAGGAACAGTACTACAAGCTAATGTATTTTTAGAAATGAAATATTGACCTAACTTATCAGCACATCTCCCCTCACTGGAATTGGGGATCAGATCTCCACTCTCTAGTCCATAAGGGAGGAAGCTGCTTTAACTAACAAACACTATGATTGCGTATTTCCTTTGTTTCTGCTTTAAAGGTACCAATATTTTCATTATCATTTGCTTTTTATAAAGTTTCACCTATATATAAAATAAGTACAAGAATCTAGTTTACTATTTATATGTCATTGTAAATTCACTTACAGACATTTTCATTGTAAGTCTAGTAAGACTAAGCATGCTCAAGAGATTTGTAGCACTTGCCTAATATGTGAGGACCAGAGTGCCATTCCCAGCACCCTGGGAGAGCAGTGGAAGAGAGGGAGGGAGGAGAGAGCAAGAGAGGGGGAAGGGAAGGACTCCTCTGATCCTATGATCTGAAAAATTATAAAAGCTTTTGATGACTCAGTTCTGTTCTTTTTTTTCTTAATGTATCAGTTATTTAGGTTCTTAGTAAGAAATTTAGAACACTAATTCATGAGGATAAATCCCATTTGTCAGAGCAAAAACAGGTCACAGGTAGCCCCAGAGCTGAGGAACAGCTTTGATTTTTGCTAAAATCTGTGAGTCCACCTCTTTCTTGCCCTCCTGATGTCTGAGTTTCTGCAGCTTCTTCTTGAAGTAAGCATCAGTGAGGTGTTCAAGGAATTTCACTTTGCTGATACCAGTTTTTGTGGAGGTGGCAATGTCAAATTTCTGATGTGTTCTTCGTAGAGGAACACGATTAGGGCTAAGAGGCCCAGTCACAAGTAACAAGCCACTGGCCAGCTGCCTCTGGAAGCCCACTCTCTTGCCTCTGTGATGCCCGGTGAGGATGATCAAGCTGGTGCCAGGAGTGATACTAGCTCAAAGTTTCCTCACATGCTGACTGAAGGGTTTCTTGCCATGGCTCAAGAGCTTTCAGGGCACATCTTCAGTAGGGTAGTATCCAGGCATTTCTTGAAGCTTAGCCACCCAGGTACCTCCATTCTTGTCCCCACCAACTGGTTTTGTGATTGTAGCAGGAGCCTTCTTTTTCTTTTCAACCTTTGATTTAGCAACTGTGTACTTTCTCTTGTACAAAGCCTTTCTGGAATATATAGCCGATCGGGAATATCTACCAATTCCTCTAACTAGGACTAACTAGGACAGGATTTCGGCTGCTGGTGGAAGCCTTCTTGGCTTTGGGTTTCTTTTTTGTTATTGTTTTTATTTTATTGGGGGGTGCAGCTCAGCCCACCAGGGGGCGGGGGCTCGCTGGCATGTGGTGCTGGGGGATTGAACCGCGATCCTTGTGCTTTGCTAAGCTTGTTCTAAGTAGGTGCTTTAGACCACTGAGCCATCTCACCAGCCCTGGCTTTGGGTTTCTTTTCTTTAGTGTCTGGTTTCTCAGTTTTTTTACCCGCCATCTTGCAAGATGGGCAGGAGAACTAAGTTTCCCCAGCTCTGTTCTTTTCAGATGCCATGGCTAAAGAATGTTACTCTTGACTGCTTATAAAACGGTCTGTGCCTCCTTATCCAAAATTCTAACACTTACTATATAAATTCAACCAACTCTATCCAAAGAAAGTTTTCTATTCTTTAAACTACTGCTACCAGTTTTGCTTGTTTGTTTGTTTGTAGTTTCGTTATTTTTTGAGGCAGGGTGTTAACTATCTAGCTCAGGCTGATGTTGAACTCAGAGCGATCCTCCTGCCTCAGCCTCCTCAGTGCTGAGCTTACAGGCATATACCACCTGCCTGGCTCTGCTACTGCCTCTGAAGCAAAAGAATTTAAGAAATTAGACTTCTAATTTAAAAAGAATTTTCTTCCAACTTTTCCAGGCAAGGGAAAATAAATTGTGCACTATTATGAAGAAACTCTGAGAATATAGATGTGGGAAACAAGATTTGCAATGAATTAACTAGTGTGGATGACTCAGTTCAGCTGGCAAATTTAGTTACTTGGAAGAACTGATTTTTCAAATTTGTAATCAAGACTGCTTTATATTTTTAACCTTGTAGAACATTTTGCTATAGAAAATGGAGAATTGATTGTAACAGTTGAAGAAGAATCATTGTTTGAAGCAGCTTACTCTGAGGTTGTTGCTGTTTACCGGAAACAAAACTTAGAAACTAAAGGGAAGAAGAAAAAAAGTAAGCATTGGAACAGATAACTAATTGCCTTTATATACTTTATTTTAAAACTAAAAAACTAGACACGTACCATTCTGCTCTGTGTCTACAAACTTAATCAGGTATTAATAATTTTACTAAGCAATTGTAGAGCAACTATTATATACCAAATATTTTGTATTTTAAATACATTTTCTTTATTTCTTAGAACTCACTAAGAAAACTCATTTGTATTATTGTTTCTAGAGGAAAATATTTCCAGGAGTACACAGAGAATAAAAAATAGCCAAAAACAGCTCATGTAGAAGATTTTTGATCTGAACTTTTTTAAACCAAGAAAAAACATAGATGTCCAGTTTATGTATTTGTATGTTTACGTATTTTCTGTTTGTTTGTTTTTAGATTTGAAAATTAAGCCTAAAGAAGACAGTTTCCCAGAGTCATATGATGTAGCAAGTTGTCAGCCACTTGTGACTTTAAAACCCAGACCTGAAATCTTTCCTGAGCAGGATTCCAAGTTAAACTTGGAAGTTTCTTCTCATGCTCCTTTACCACAGGAAAAGATCTCTGCCTTTTTCACTAGCTTGCTTTTACCTGAAGATGCTTCCAGTTTGAATATGCAAGAAAAGTTGATGTCTTCTTCAGGGCCTTTACCTAGTCAGCAGATTAAAGATGCACCACATCACCCGGACTCAGGGCCACCCGGTCCTCTGTCTTGTGATACATCTTCGATTACTGATTTGCACCTGAGCTCCATTGACTGGGAAGGCACTTCTTTTAGTAACTTTCCAGCTCTTCAAGTCTCTTCCAATTTACAGTCAGAACTTGAAGCAAAGCTATTGTCCTCCCCTGATGACTTTGAAAATGTCCCAGAGCAGTCAGGATGGTTCACCTCAAACATTAATAAAGTATCGCATGAGCATGTTCAGAAGATTAGTCCTGAAGAGCAGTTACTATCTGACATTCGTGATTTGAATCTTCAGGATATGCCTTTAAGGGAACGTATATATATGAAATCTTTACATCAAGAGAATGATGCACAGTCAGACAGTGACTGGAAAGCTTTTTTCCTACACAATGTAAAAAAGCCTCAGATTGCTAATAGTAGATCTGATTGTCTATCACATCTTCCAATGGATCTTCCTGGAATTAATTTGCAAAATGAATCCAGAAACTCTAAAGTTATGAAAGGAGACCAGCTGCCTCAAGAAAACTGTAAAGTGAATACTTGTCTACATTATTCCGTCAGTGACCCACTAATGAAGACCTCCAGTATTAGAACTGAGCCACCGAATATTTCTTTAGATCATAGTGGAAAAGCTGGTATATATACTGCTCAAAAAGTTGTCAAGAATAGGATGTGCTTTAATAGACATTCCTTAGACCAAGAAAGTGGCCCAGAGTCAGGTAAAGCGAAGTATACAACTCAAAAAATGAAATACAGCTCAAAGAAACATGACCTAGCCCAGCTCAAAGAAAGGGACCACAAGGAACAGCGGAACCCTACAATTCCTGCAGATGAAACTCTATTGAATGTCACGTCTTATAAAGCAATCAGAAATGAAGAAAAACATTTCTCAGATCCAGCAAAAACTTCCCCAGTTTTCCTGCAGTGCCATGAGAAAGATGACCTTGGTACTTGTTCAGACAGTCCTCTTCCTTTATGCCAGAGATTAAAACTAAGGTTCCAAAACAGCTTAAATGAAATTTAAAATACTTAAGTATAACTTACCTCATACTGTCAGCCTTAGCAGAGAGAAGGTATCTAGTTAACAGCTGATAGAGAAATTGAGTATAGCTATGTATGTCATGCAACATTTGTGCCATTTTGTCCAAGTTGTGATTTTAAAATTTTATCTAAAACTGATTTTAAATGATGATCCCTCTGTGCTGATAGTATTTTTTAAATCATTTTTGAGATATGACAGTAAACCCTTTTATTTTTCCCATAAAATACTAAAAGCACTCATTCTAAGTATGTCTTAGCTTGTTGTCCTGAGGGCATCCATGGGTCTTAATCTGCCTCCTGACAGGCAGGTTCTCTCAGTGTGAAGGTTCCAGAGCTCCCACTTTGTTACCTTCTTTGTGAGGGAAACACAGATGAGAGAAGGTGGTTAGTGCACATAATAAAAACCACTGTCATAATGGCTGAATGAAACTAAGGACATCATGCCTAGAAATTCCAGAGCAGGTGAAAGAGATTCAGAAAATGGAATGTATAATCAGAAGAGGATTAGAAACTTCCTTAATGGCACAGGACAGTAATGCTGTAGGAATCAGTTTTTTGCCTTCTAATTCCTTGACTTTTCTGTCAGTTGGTTTGTTTTCCTACATTATTTTCTTTCCCTTTTACTTTAAAAAATTAACCTATGCAGTATTGACTTTAGTAACTACAGATACTAAGTCTTGCATAAATTTAGACAGGCATCATGGTGCACACCTGAAGTCCCAGTATGATGGGAGGTTGAGGCAGGAGAATTGCTAGTATAAGCCCAACCTGAGAAAGTTAGCAATACCCTGTCTCAAAATAGAAAGGGTTCAGGTGTTGGGGATATGGAGTGCAAAGACTGTGGGTTCAAGCTTCAATTGTCCCCTACCCCCAGAATTTATTTAGTATTCAGAAACTAAAGGGCATCCAGATTTGAAAAGAAACAGTAAAACTGTTCTTATATACAATTGGCAGATCTCATGTATGGAAAATCCTAAGGAATCCATTGGAAAATATCTTAAAACTGGTTAAATCATAACCTCACTGAATGTAAACATATGCCATAAACATGAGCTAAGATTAATAATATCAAGAATCAAAAAGGATTTTTAAAAAGTTGTATTATACATATGTAGCCACTTTCCAGGTTGACTATAAACTGTAGGTAATGTAAGCATGTACTAACAAATAAAATTATCTTTATTTTGATGAAAATTTTAAAGTGATAAAATGAGTTCTTCAAGGTTGCAGGAAACAAGATCAACGTACTCAATAATGTTTCCATACAGTGGACCCTTGATTGCAAACTCAGTTCCAAGGGCTGGTTGTGACTCAGGTTGTTAAGTGAAGGCTCAGGCTCCTCTACACAGCCTTCAGGGTTGCTCTCCTGGACACAGGCCCAGGATTTCTATGTTAACCCCATAGAATAGAGGATGTTGTGGTGTTCTTTCCAGAATTCTTTAAGGGTAGAATCTGCATCTGAGACCCTCTGGAAGCCCAATAGGCCAGTATTTGGGTCATAACTCAAGATGTTGGTTGTAAGTTAAATTCCTGTCATGACCCAAGTTGTTCTATGTCAGGCCAGTTGTAACTCGAGTGTCCACTGTACATTCAGTATATGATACCAAATGAAACTTGGGAGAACTGTTCCATTTACAGTAGCACCACAAAAAGGAAAATACAAGTTAATGAGTTCAAAAATTACACTCAAGTATGAAACATTGAAAGTAAACATTCTAGGGCTGGTGAGATGGCTCAGTGGTCTACAGCACCTACTTAGAACAAGCTTAGCAAAGCACAGGGACCACAGTTCAATCCCCCAGCACCACATGCCAGCCAGTCCCGCCCCCTGGTGGGCTGAGCTGGCCACACACACACACACAAATAAAATTTAAAAAAAAAAGTAAACATTCTATAATCATGAGTCAGAAGAATTAAAATCCCGGTATTACTCTAAATGATCTTCGATTCAGTGCAGTCCCAGCTAGCAAGGTGATGCTAACATTCATACAGAAATTTAAGGAAGAACAGAATAGCCACACAGTCTTCACAAAAATTAAAGCTAAAAGACTCACCTTAATTCCAAAACTCACTCCAATGCTATAGTAGTGAAGACTTGTACTGAGATAAAAAGTAGGCATGTACATTGGTGGAGAATCAAGACCTCAGGAATATGCCTTCATGATAACTGATTTTCAGCCCCACCAAGATAGCTCAGTGTGTAAACAGCAGTCTTTCAGTAAGTGCTGCTGAGACTGTTGAGCGCTGATGTGCAAAAAAGAGTTTGATCCTTAACCTTGTATAGAACAGTAAAGTGGACCAGTGACACAAGTATAAGAGCTAACACTATAAAACTCTGAATTAGGCAATGGTTTTCTTAGGTGTGACACCAAAAATACAGGCAGAAAATTTTACAATTGATTTTGATGAATCAAAACTTGTGTTTCAAGGACAGCATTAAAGTGAAGAAACAATCCACATAGAATGAGAAAATATTTTCTAATAATAGAGGACATGGCTTGGTTACTTTTCTCATTTCTGGGACAAAATATCTGATGCCCAAAATTCAGGAAAAAAAAGTTTTAACTCACAGTGTGTGGAGGTTTCAGTCTGTACTCAGCTGGCTCGAAGGCAGAGTGGCACATGGCAGAGGGCAACAGGTCATGGCAGTGATGGAAAAAAAGCAAAAAAACCCAGAAAGCACAAGCCTCTTTCTCCCATGTGTTGTCTGCAAGCTGGGTGTAGCACTCACACCCATAATCCTAGCATTGGACCATTGAGCCAAAACTCTAGAAGCTGCCCCATGACTGTATAAGGCTTGGGGGTCAGGGAGGAACTTTTTTTTTTTTTTTTTTTTTTTTTTTTTTTTTTGGTGGTACCAGGGATTGAACTCAGGACCTTGTGCTTGTCAGGCAAGCACTTATTCCACTGAGCTATCTTCCCCAGCCCTGGGGGAACATCTAAACACAAACCATAACTTGTAACTTAGAAGGATTTGTATATATATTCTTAAAAACATACAGTTCAGTCATAGAAGACTAAGTGAGGGAGGAGCCAAGTATCTGAAGATATTTGAACAGCCAGTAAGCACATGAAAATGTTTTTAACATGTAGCCATCAAGAAAATGAAAAAATTTTTCCCATTTCACAACTAGTAGAATGACTACAATTAAGAAAAAGATGGGGCTGGTGAGATGGCTCAGTGGTCTAAAGCACCAACTTAGAACAAGCTTAGCAAAGCACAGGGACCGCGGTTCAATCCCCCAGCACCACATGCCAGCCAGCCCCGCCCCCTGGTGGGCTGAGCTGGCCACACACATAAATAAATAAATAAATAAATATTTTAAAAAAAATAGAAAAAGACAACTTGGGCCCAGGAGAGAGTTCAGTGGTCTAAGCACGTGCCTAGGCAAGTGCAAGGACCCGGGTTTGATCCCCGGTAGCACACGTTCCAGCCCTGCCCCAGGCCAGCAGAGCTGGCCACTGAGACCAGGCATGGTGGCACACACCTATGATCCCAGCACTGGGGAAGCTGAAACAGAATCGCTACGAGTCTTAGCTGCATAGTGAGACCCTGTACCAAATACATAAATTTTAAAAAATCGAAATTTTTTAAAAAAGAGACCATATGCTACACAGGAAATCCAGATGTTATATATTGCAAACATGTATTCATCAAGAGGTGGAGGGAAGGGACTAGACAGATACATCGGAGATCTGTTATGTACAAGTACTATTTTGCCAAAAGGAATGTAGATATTATGTCCTGATACCCATAACATGGTTCACCATAGCCAATAAGTGGAAAAAACATGGTTATGAAAGGGAGAAAATTAATGTGCATTGAATACCAACTGTGCTAAGTGCTCAGCTAGTTTTTTCATGAAACATTGATCTCAGTAATGCTATAAGGCCTGCATTGCTATGCTCTGAATATTGGAGGGGAGGGTCCTGTTAAAACATTTTCCAGGGATCTGATGATCATGATGGATTCACTCCACACTATGATAACTTAGGGCTATTTTGGGCAAATACAACAAATCTGCAACTGTTCTTGAAGTTTCATTTAAAGAAAATAAAATTAAATATTTATTTGGGGCAGGATCTATGCATCTCGGGCTCATAGTGATCCTCCTGTCTCAGCCTCCCCAGCGCTGGGATTACAGGCGTGTGCCACCATGCCTGGTTTTGGTGGCCAGCACAGCATTATGATACGGGGGATTATACCTGGGTCGTTGTGCTTGCCACGCAAGCGCTCAGACTGCTGAGCTATCTCCTCAACCCAATGTTTCATTTTGAGACAAGGTCTCACTATGTAGTGCAGGCTGACCTGGACTCACTTATATAGCCCAGGGTAGCCTGAAATTCATTGCTGTCCCAGCCTCCCAAGTGCTGGAGTTATGGTTGTGCACCACTACACCTGGCTCTTGAGATATTACGAGATGAAAATTACAAAAATGGGCTGGGAGTGACTAAGCTGGATTCGTCTTGCTTCAAAACTAATGTAGAGACAAATGTATGAGCTCTAACACCTGCTTTCCCTTCTTCCTCAAAGACTTCTTTCGTTGTCCCAATTGCACCAGCCCTGTTAAAACCACTTCAGATCCCAGTTCCCTGCCAGTCACTACTTGATGACAGACTTTCACCACAGCTACTACTTACATACTTGCTCAGCACGTCGTCATTGGCCGCCTTGCCACTGAAGTACTCTGCTGAAATTCTGTCCCTAGCTGCATGAATCCTGCACCAGCTTCTCACTCGGGCCCACCTACTCACAGCTTTGCAAGATCCGTCTGAAGTCCTTGGAAATTTTTCTTCCAGATAGTTTCCTTCCAATAGCTTATTTATTTTGAATAACACCACCCAAGCCTTCTGGTCAGACATGTCTAGCTTCAAGTTCTTTTCTGCTACACATTTTCTGTATGGCTTTTTAAGTTTTCTGAGATTTGCTAACTGAAATATTTATGTGACCTCCCTTATGTGGCACACATAGTGCTGGTCCCTAGAAGCATG